TCCCCCCCCAAAAAAAAACCTCTGGAGATGAAAGGGCAGCATCAAGACTATGCTTTCGGGAAGGGTGGGGAGTGCTCACGCAGCGCTGCACTAGGACCAATTCTTGCTTTCAGAAGGGCACAGCAGATCTCCACTTGCCTCGCAGGTGTCAAGCAGAGAATCAGGACAAGGCCACTGCCCTCCTCCCCACCCCCCCAGCAGGGGGGCACCCCCTCACAACACCGGCACAGTGTCTGGTCCGCTCCCACCGGAGCAAGCACTCCCACTCTTTTGCCTCGGTATAAACACCGTGTCATTGATCTTAAAATCCTCTGGCTCCGTGGAGCTATTTCTAAATTGACATCGATGAAAAAGCAGAACCTTTCTCAGGTTTCCCTGAGATGCTTCATATAAAGGGAATTTAGGATGTTTGAGTTGGAAACTTACCTAAATGGATTTTTAAGAAAACTGTCATGACGTTTGCCAATTAACTGTGACCCGATTAGCATTCAGACATGGGAAGGACCCACTTTGGGTGCTACTTTTCCAGCCTTCCACCTACACCCTTCTACTTTGTTTACAGAGAAAACATACGCTGTTTTGCCTATATTGGTGTAATTAAAAAGGTAAAGTTCCCTGATGCGGATGCATTTCTGCCAGGATAAATGTGCTATACCAATGCAGCTTATTTATATACAGAAAAGAGAATAAACACCAGGTGTATTAGCTACAAGTATACTTTACTGGCCCCAGAATTATATAGCACTGGCAAATGACCCCCAGGGCGAGGGGCAGCTTTTCTGGCAGCCACGGTTTGGGGTGCTGCAGAGAGACACCATCCCCACAGGCAGAACAGGGCTCCAAGGAGAAATCACAGCACCGAACAAAGTCATCCAGATCTTCCCCCGGGGCTCCTCTCCCATATCTCTGAGGGTCTGGGCTGCCACAGCTCTGCGACTGAAGTGCAAATGCAGGTATCACCCAGCACAGCCTAACAACATCCATACTGGCATCATTATAGCTGCAAAAAGTAATTAGAAAATTAAACAATTATGCTGCGCTAGCAAAAATGATCCATCGGCACCAAACCCATGTGGTGGTGAGGCCTGTTGTAATTTCCTCATGGGGGCTTCACCGACCAGCAAAGGTGGCTGAGGCTGCTCGAGGCGAGGCCAAAGCCCTGTTTGTGAACACACTCGGGTATTACCAAAATGCTGTCACTAATCCCTGGTGGCACTTCCCTTCGCTTTTCAAGCAGAAGGACCCTTCCGCTCCCAGCTCTGAGCTGCTGAGGTGCAATGCCACGCCGGCCACTCCAGCAGGGAGATTAAACACAGGGAGATTAAACTTTAACAGCAAATAATATAGAAACTTATTAAAAGAGAAAATAACTGACATTAAAAAAAAAAAAGTATTTTACAAGAAAAAAAAAATCAAAACAACCAAACACTTGTATTGTCACTTACTTCTAACAGATTTCTTATGTGACGGAGAGGACTTTGGGGGTTTATTAGCACCAGTGACGGCGCGGGGAGGGCTCCTCAGCTCACCCCCCCCCCCCTCCTGCCGCAAACAGCTCCTTCCAAAGCGAAAGTTCGACATTAACGCCGTTCCTACCAAAAAATTGCTTCTAGGCGAGCGGCTGCGGCAATGCCGGGGTCACGGTGGGCTGCTGGAGGTACCGTGTTTCCACTCACGGCGTGTTTGCATACCCACGTGTGCCACCCCCCCGCCCCCCCGGCCTTTCCTTACGGAAAGCGCATCCCGGGATGGCGGGGGGACCCCGGTGCCCTGGGACCCGGCTGGGGACGGAGGGTCCTCTCCCGCCAGGCAGGATGGCAGGAACGGGGCTGGGGAGCCCACAGGGGGACCCCGGGCTGCGACGATCCCCGCGGGCAGCCCCACGCAGGAGGAGGGCTCCCCCGAGCGCCCCTCCGAGCTTTCAGGGGGGGGGGGGGGGGGGGAATAAAATAATCCGCCTGGATGGTGCGAGGAAGCGCGGCCGCTGCAGACACAACCCCCCGCAGAGCCGCCCCTGCGCGGGTGCGCAGCCTGCACTGCCTTGAGCGCCCGCGGGGTTCGGGTGCGGGGAAACTTCGGCCCCGGCGCGGCAGAAAACCCGCTCCCCCTAAAACCCTCCTCGCTTTTCTCCCTCGCTGTTTAGGGGAGAAAAAAAAATACAATAAAATAACTTATTTAATGCCTTTATGGTCTGCGAAAAATAATCGCTTTATGGTCTGCGAAAAATAATCACTTGCCCGCCACTTACTCAAATGTGAAAAGAAAATATTACCATTATATCGTAAGCGCGACAGTAATAACCGGAGCCCCGGCTGTTTCCAAATCTCTGTTTAGCATCGGTGATGGACACGGCTTGTCAGCCTGGTAATTTTAGGTTAATGCGCCAGTGAATCTACCTTTTAATTAAAAGCGGCTGCTGTTTTCACGCGCGCTGAAGCCGTCCGCCTGTCACCTACACAGAAACAAGGGCCAGAAGCTGCAATGAAGAGGTGACAGAGTCAGGCACCCCCCGAGCCCCCCCCCCCCCAACACTAATCCTTATCCCCAGGTTAAACAAAACATTTCAAACCAATTGTTTGTTTAAATCTATAAGTCATTTCAGCGTGAGAATATGAACTCCCTTCCTGTTTGTTCAGCGACGGCCGCGCAGTCTGCGCTCCCCGCGCTCCGCCGCTCGGCCCGGGGGCTGATCTCACCGGGGATGGAGGGAGCCACCCCCGGGAACCCCGGAGCCGGGGCAAAGGAGGGGACCCCGCCGGCCTCCCCTCGCCTCCTCCCCCGCTGCGGCGAGCCCGGACCCCTCGGAGTGGGGCGAAACGAGGAAAACTCGCAACACCCGTGTCGGTACCGGGGGCTGGGGGGGTGGAGGGTGCAGCGCGGCTTCACCTGGGAGCCCGCCCGGGGGCTTCACCGGCGACCGGCTGGGAACGGGGATGCTCGGGGCCATGTTTAATTAAAGCCCATAAAAGCCGCCAGCGCGGTTCCTTTGCCTTCGTGCCATCAGCGTTACCGGCTGCGGCGGGGGCTGTGCGGGGTTAGAGACCGACCCGCGCCCCGCCACCCCCGGGGGCTGCGGCCGGCGGCGGGGCAGGACATCACTAATGATCACCTTTTAATTGGGAGGCCCGCCTAATTAGCGCCCCCGCAGCGGGGCCGCCCCGCCGGTCACCTCCCCACCGCGCAAACACCGCGCCCGCGCTGCCCCCCCCCCGTCCCGCCCGCGTCCTCGGCAGGACGGCGGTAATTGTAGGGCTCGGTAGATGCTCTATAATTTGGTATCTCGAAGGAAAAGAAAAAAAAAAAAAATACAGCAGACACTCGGGGAAAACAAAAAAAACCCCACCCAAACAAACAAGCAAAAAAATAAGTTAGAAAAAAGCAAAGCGCCGCGGTTCCGCGTTTCGTCGCAGCAGCTGAGACAGAGCCCCGGGAGAGCGGCGGACAGCCGATCCGGCGGGAGATGCAGTCACCGGGCTCGGCGGGTGGGCGATGGTTTGCCCGGGCCACTCGCCCTCCTGTGCCACCGGCCCCCCCGCAGCGCTCTGCCCCAACCGCCGACCAAAAAACAAAACAAAACAAAACAAAAAAAAAAAACAAAAAAACACCATTTAGGACGCGCAGAGCGGAATCTAATGAACGTATTTGACTGGTATTGATGGATCTTTGAAAGGCGAAAGCATCCAAATTCGCCCGAGCACAAACTGCGGGTCCTGCCGCCCCCGGTCCCGGCCCGAGCCGGCAGCGACAGCCCCGGGAGAACCCACCCGGGACCGGCGGGGGCAGCCCCGCGCGTTGCTCGGTCGCGGTAGATCTGCCTGAGAACTTGGACAAAACAAAACAAAACAAAAAAAAAAAACAAAAAAACACCATTTAGGACGCGCAGAGCGGAATCTAATGAACGTATTTGACTGGTATTGATGGATCTTTGAAAGGCGAAAGCATCCAAATTCGCCCGAGCACAAACTGCGGGTCCTGCCGCTCCCGGTCCCGGCCCGAGCCGGCAGCGACAGCCCCGGGAGAACCCACCCGGGACCGGCGGGGGCAGCCCCGCGCGTTGCTCGGTCGCGGTAGATCTGCCTGAGAACTTGGGGGTG